TATTATTGTGATTAGATGCGCTGTCATCCTCTCATACTGACACCTGACACCACACATACACACGTAGGGAGAGCCGGGACGAAAGTAACGGAGCAATTTTATCCGAGCCCAAACAACGTCAGAATTATCAGCATTCAATACTTAACAGACCTACTAATATCAGGTTTAACTGTGAGGAGTAGTGTTGTCATGATACCAACATTTTGGTTTCGATACCGATACCAAGTCAAGAATTGAGATTCCGATTCTTTTGCGATACTTTTCTTAAAAAAAGGGAAACAGTCTTAAATGTAATTATTGTGCTTTATTTCACACCAGAACCATAACACACACTTTTAAACAATGAGAACAATAAATTAAATAAATGACAATAATTCGTATTAAATACAATTAATACATTTCTTACAGACAGGCCTCGTGGTGTCCGTAGGCTTGCCCTCACTGTCAGAGATATAGCTAAAATACATCAACATTTAGCTTCTGGTGTCTTTTTTGTCAACAAGCCGAGGCGCAGCGGCAGTTGCACTCCCACTTGCAGCCATGCTTCTCGTTTTCTCACATGCTCTGGCAGCTAGCTCGTGCACGAGAGAGGGGAGACACTTGAGCATGCTTGAGAGGGGCGGGACTGCAGGCACGGCTGCGGTGCAGGGATTGGAAGCAGAGCGCTGAACACACACGGCTCTTCTTAAAACGGCGCTTTCTCACCGGAGTACTTTCCCCCGTCATTCTTAAAGTACCGATACTAATGAAACGGAGGAATCGTAACGTTTTTAACGGCAGGGTATCGCGTTACCTTTCAAGTATCGGTACACCGTGCAACACTAGTCAGGAGTCAGTGTCTCTCCCCCAAACTCACACATATACAATTCGATATGAACTGAAGAACCGCATGAAACTAGGCAAAGAGCCGCATGCGGCTCGAGAGCCGCGGGTTGGCCACCCCTGCTCTAGACCGATAATTTTTTGGAGCTGGAAGTGAACCAGATTTCGGAGCTAAGAGGCGGCGCCGCTGCGGTGTGAAACAGGAAAAAACTACTTTTCAGGCTCCAGCTCCGAGCCGGAGCTGAAAACGCGTTGGTGTGAAAGGGGCATCAGTTCTTACCTCTAGTTTCCCGTGCCCTTACAATGGAAACTTGTTTGCAACCGCCTTGGTGGCAAAGGGTTATCAGTGACTAAGCAGTTTTTCTACTTTGCAGTTTGTTGAAGGAGCAAAGGAGATCTGCTACGCTCTGCAGAGAGAAGGATTCTGGGCTGACTTTATCGAGCCATCCTCTGGCCTGGCGGTAAGATAACACTGATCTACGAATGGGGTCTGATAGCTTCTAATCAAATCTGAATGCTGTTCCGAATCTCCTCATGTCTGAACTCTTAACCCTAACATGTATGCATGGCAGTGTGAAATTCTGGCTATTCTGAACCACAATCCTTTGCATGGGGTATAAATTCAAGTTGCAAAGCTGTATAATCGCGTGTTCCAAATGCATGAGCATAGGGAAGCATCCTCAATGTGGGTGGGACAATTTCACAGGGGGTGTAGGCAGGTGGTGGACCTCACCTCCTCTAGGGGGGTCCAGGGGCATGCTCCCCCAGGAAGATTTTGTTTTAAATGTTGAAGTTAAATGCATCAATCTGCTGCACTTTGATAGCAAAATTAGGGACTAAATACATATCTCAACAATACCCATATGAAACAGAACTGTAAACAGATTTACTTTTTCTTTATGCATATTTTACAAATCACTCCCCATTTAACCTGTATTTTTGTGTTATTGAGTTGGAATAATTTCATACCTGTTATTCTCTTGTTTTTTATAACTATAATGATCATATAAAGGTGTGCCTTGGAAATACTTGTTTACATAAATGATTACCAAACCGTTTGAGACCCACTACTTAGACTAAAGTTAACTATCTAAACACTCAGAGAGTCCTTTACCTCACTGAGCTGTTGTTATCAGCCTCTCAGTCTGACAGGAGAGGACTCTCCCTCCACCTCTTTAATAACAGCGCCTTATATCCGGGTGCTAGTGGAGCACCCTCGTGAACTGTTAGTGCCGGAGCCTCGCAGCGGGGAAACTGTGGCGCGCATAATTGTGCTCATGTGGACGGCTCTGAGAATCTGCCTTGGTACAAAGTAGCAGTGAAAACATGGTACGGAATTTCATTGATTTGGGCATTCTCACAATAAGTAGACCCTCCAGAAAAACGCGATCCTGCGATCGCAGAATTTAACGCATAATCAGCAAAATGGTGCAGATTTTTAAAAGGCCGCATATTTATCAAAAGGGCGCATAATCCCCGCATTTTTCCACACAAAGTTGAGAGAAAAAAAAGTTAACTCGTCTTGACGTGACGTCATCAGCTCGCGCATCACAGAAGGTAAACAACACCGTATTGAGCAGTTGACTCAGACTCCAGCCCGACGGGCAAGACGTGCCCGCGAGGACAGTTTTCTTCATGGCCCCTTTGTTGTATCATGTAATAGTGTTAATCTGAGCCCGGCGTTTAGTCTGCCGCTTTTATATTTCAATTTTATTTTCCGCCATGCTGGCTGCTGGCAGGGAACTGCTGTCGTCATTCCTCGCCCCTCCCAGCCCTCCGAGGGAACTCCGCACACGTCAATCAAATGCCGCGCAGCCGGATAAAATCCAGAGTGATCCAAAAGTGACCAGGAGTGGACAGCAAAATAATATTCGCACATGTCTTCATCAAACCATTTGCAAGAGCAAACAAAGACAAAATCGATGAAACAATGAGAAAACAACCCCACGAAAAACAACTCTTCAGGCCAGAAAACCCCCCCAGTGGACAAAAGACATGAATGATTTTCTTATGTCGCAGTCACGCGCGCACCCCAGCCAACACGCTCGCACCACACCAACTCTACTCATACCACAGGAATGCCAACACTCCCCGCTGACTATACAAGGGATATAAGAGTCCCCGTAGACAATGAACATACCAACTAAAACCTGCGCGCTTATGCCAACANGAAATGTACTATATTCCTAAATATGCTATTGCTACACTTTATGGCAAAAATTGCACTTTTCTGTTGGTCTTGGTTAAGTACATCCTTGAAAAAAATAAACAATGTTTTGTTGCTTAAGCTTATGTATTCAGTCATTATTCAATGGTATACTAAAATCCATGTGAAAAAAATTGCTTCTCACTGTTCTCAGGTCAAATATTTATATGTGATTAAAAATGCGATTAATTGCGATTAATTAATTACAAAGCCTGTAATTAATTAGATTAATTTTTTTAATCGAGTCCCGGCCCTAATAACAATACATGCTTTGATTTGGTGCACTTGTTACATCAAGCAGGTTCAGATTAACCTGATCAACCTGATCAACCTGATCTTTGGGTTTGCTGTCCGTGCTTTTCTGATTCTGTTATAAACTTGGTCATTACAACTTTCAAGAAAATTGCTGTGTAATCTGGGGGTATGTTTTGCTTGATTGACAATTGTGGATTCATAACCACATGGGTGATCTTTCCTGAAAAATGTCTCACCATTTCTGGCAAAGTTGGCGATGGCCAGGGCTCCGGACAGTTGCAGCTGTGTGTTGGAGCTCTGCAGCCAGGACAGAACATCCTGATACACCACACCAGAGCCCTCCCCAAAACACTTCTGCATGGACTCATCTGACACACACACACACACACACACACACACACACACACTACATCATCTCAACACTTTGATCAGCAGAAAGAGGCTTCAGTCAGAACGACAAAAAAGGAAACAGGTGTCTACACTGAGACAGTGGTTGCTACACAGATGTTCAGGTGTAACATCAGCATTGCTCACCTCCTAACAGCAGAGACACAATGAGGTTGGAGGCGATCTTGATGCTGCAGAGGTCGTGAGGGTCAGATCCTCCCTGCAGACTCCGAATCATCTCCGATAAGGCCTCTGGTACTCCTGACTCTGCAAACTGCAGCTTCAGTGTATCTGGGGGTCCAGCGCAGTTTAATTGATCATTAGTAACAGCTTACAATATCTTCCAAAATAGGTACACCATCTTTACAAAACAAAAGACAGCCCCAGGTGGTAGGTGGTCCTTAGCATTACCTTATGATGGAAACCCGGACATTATAAAACACACAGCCCTTGACAAAAATTAGCAACTATGCTAATGCCGCACTGGGGAAGATTATTTTGAAATCTGTATGTCGATTCTGTGGAACTCGTCTCATCAAAGGGGGGATTTGGCAATAGCACAGTTCCAGCACGACAGCTGATTGTCCAGTTAGTACAATCAATGTGATCACTGATTGATTGGTTGTATTGCCCACAACAGCCTGACTAACACACCCCAATTCTGATGGCTCATGGTAAAGCCTGACTTTATTAAAACCTTCTTTGAGAGGTTTAGAAATGGTTCTAGAAAGAAATATCAAATCAATATTTCCCAAGCCTTCTTCCTGAAGCAACCTTGAGCTCTTACCACTCTCGCCCAGAGCCCCCAGTATTTCCAGGATGACATGTCGGCGCTCAGCGTCAGGCGCCCGTTTCAGCTGGAAGGTCAGCACCTCTGCCACGCCTTGCTCTGCCAGGGCCTCCCTCGCTGAGTCTGCAAACACACACCTCTACACATGTGACAGTGTGCAGGCACCTGGTCATCCTGAACACCACTGATAGCCATCGTATATCTGCAGCTTTTACAAATGGTTATTATTCTGGCTTAGTATTTAATTCTAGTTCCATGTGACAGGAAGTTAGTTATTAGTTATAGTTAGTAGTTGGTAATTCTGAAGTGGTGTGCTCCAGTGAAGCTGATGTCTGTTCATCCTGTGCCATCCTTCGTTCGTAGCCCTTGAGAAGGCCTTACGTGTAAGTTGTTATGTTGTGACATTATAGTTCTTTACTTTGAGTGCATTCTTGTGATTAGATGCAGCGAGTTATAGAGATTGAGCACGTTTAATTTCATACATGTGTTCTAGCATCTACAGTATGAATGTTGCCATTTATTTTAAGTATTCATATCTCAGTTCAATGCAATGACGTATATTGTGTTTGCATATTCATATTTCATATGTTGTGACCAGTTATCTGAGCTAAAATTTGTGTAGTTGTTTGTGTATGCAATATAGCAGGGGTGGCCAACCAGTCAGAGGTTAAGAGCCACATTTTTTCTATGTTACTGCAAAGAGCCACATCAAACACAGTCACTGATACCGCTTGTTTCAGTTTTTTGTTTTCTGGAGACAAGATTTCAACCACGTCACTGATGCATTTTTGTGGCATTGGGATATATATTTTTTAAATCCTCCTGAGCAGAGAGAGGAGCTGTGGATTATTGTTATTGATTAATGCATCAGTGTTTCTTAGGGTCAAAAACACTAAACTAACAACTTAAAATGAAAGCGTTTAGTTTATTTAATAAAAGAGCACATGTTCAATGTGAAAAGTGACAGTAGTTATAGATTATTTGCAATTTGGTGCTATATATATATATTTAAAAAATATTTTTTAAACACCTTGAATTTCAGGGGGGGCGCGGGGCTCTGTTGGCGGGGCACAGCGCCCCTCGCTGTGCCCCGCCAACAGAGCCCCGCGCCCCCCCTGAAATTCAAGGTGTTTAAAAAATATTTTTTAAATATATATATATAGCACCAAATTGCANCGTGTGCCTTGGTCAGTCTCAGCTTGGTATCGAAACCAAAATGTTGGTATCGTGGCAACACTACTCCTGACAGTTAAACCTGATATTTAGTAGGTCTGTTAAGTATCGAATGCTGATAATTCTGACGTAATTTGGCCGGTCAAAGTTGTTTGGGCTCGGATAAAATCGCTCTGTTACTTTCGTCCCGTGTTACTTTCGTCCCGCCTCTCCCTACGTGTGTATGTGTGGTGTCAGGTGTCAGTGTGAGAGGATGATAGCGCGTCTAATTTTGATGTGGCCCAAGAGCCAATCACAATAATACCTGCGATGCAATGAACCAATCACCTTTGAGGGGGGGGAAACCTATCGTTGATTAAACACTATCCAGTGTTTCCCCGACCATTGTCTTGGAGGGGCGCTGCGCCCGCCAACGGAGCCCCGCGCCCCCCCTGAAATTCAAGGTGTTATAAATATAAATTATANTCTCATACTGACACCTGACACCACACATACACACGTAGGGAGAGCCGGGACGAAAGTAACACGGGACGAAAGTAACAGAGCGATTTTATCCGAGCCCAAACAACTTTGACCGGCCAAATTACGTCAGAATTATCAGCATTCGATACTTAACAGACCTACTAAATATCAGGTTTAACTGTCAGGAGTAGTGTTGTCACGATACCAACATTTTGGTTTCGATACCAAGTCAAGAATTCCGATTCTTTTTCGATACTTTTCTTAAAAAAAAGGGAAACAGTCTTAAATGTAATTATTGTGCTTTATTTCACACCAGAACCATAACACAAACTTTTAAAAAATGAGAACAATAAATAAAATAAATGACAAGA